TTATCAAAAACACTGAAACTAACAACTAAATAATAGTCTTCATTCTTCAACAGTGAATTTATATTAAGTATTAAACACTTATTAGAGCTCGCTGCTCGAGTGGTAAGTGGCGGAGTTGATGGCTTGATGCTATAGCATTTTACATTATAGATTGGAAGTTATATTCTTATCTGTTAAAAGAAAAGAAAGCTTCGCAAAAAATTATCTTAGAGCAAGTTTGACAAGTGGTCGAAGTGGCTTATAATCCACTTTTGTGACTTATAAGCCACTATGACATGTTTGGCAAATAGCTTATTATGGCTCATAAGCCACCAAAAAATAAGCTAAGGTTGGCTTATAAGCCACAAGTCTTGACCAAGTACAAGAACAATATATCCCTCATCATTTCATAAGGTACCCTACCTTATTTTTTGGTGGCTTATAAGCCACAAGTCTTGACCAAGTACAAGAACAATATATCCCTCATCATTTCATAAAATTCCAAGTTCCATTTATCTCTCTCCAACCCATTAAATACTTTCTGGTCAGTTTGACAATACTAACGGCTTACGAGCCACCCATTTGCCAAGCACTCTATTATTGAAAATAGATTATAAGCCACTATATTTACCAAACACCATGGCTTGTAATCTACTTGGCTTATAACTACTTGGCTTATAATCCATTTGTGGATTATAAGCCAAGTGGATTACACCCCAAAGTTGGTAAACATGCCCGTAGAATATTAACCATCTACATAAAGCAACTAGAAGTCCAATAGTATCATGTTCAGCATTAGAAATGAACAAGCTGTCAATCAATTCATTTTTCAATTACCGAATGATCAAATTGTTGTGAGAAGACATCGCTTTTAGTCTTGTACACCCATGATGAAGATCTAGTCTCTAAGTTTATCAAAGCAGCCCCCAAATTCGTACCTATAAGCAATGAAAGATAGACAAGGTTACAGAATGCAGTCAAGGAATATAACTTCCTGAACTATATGGCCTATATAGTATGCAAGAAAAAAATAGAAAATTCCTCTTCAAGTACAGAAAGTTCTTTTTTATAGAAAATAATGGCACAATTGCGTAATATCCATTTAAATAGCCTAAACATAGCAAAGGTAAGATAACAGTTGCAAGGTTTCTTCTGATAAGAACTAAAAATGAAGCATCCTTGGAGGAATCTCACTGCTAATTGCTCAAGCTGACGGAGGGCTCATTACTAATACTAGAAAAGAAGAACCCTCGTTTTAATATCTAAATCACAAATATTTTTAAATTCAAAGCATAATTAAAATGCATTTCGTAATAACAAGACCAGAAAAGAGATTTGAACCATCTAAATTAACAATACAGTAAAGACATGGACGCATGGCACCCTACTCTCAGCTTGTTTGGTCATATATGTCAAAATTCAAAACTATAGTAGAATACTAACTTCAAACTGACAAGTGAAGACACATTATTTAAAAAGAAATTACATGGAAAGAACTCACCTATTACCGCACGTGTTCCATCCCAGCTGCAATCGGTAGTCCATATTGTGCAATCAAAAGAATTAACTTTCAAAGCTCGTCTATGAAGACGGAGAGCACTTGAACCTGGACCGAAATCCAGAGGTTTAGTGAGATTCACAATATAGACAGACCCACCAGATACTCCCGATCCAAGAGTTGTCACCATGTTTTTAATCGTTAAGTATCCAATTATAACATAGTTGGACTTCTTATGCAGAATACGGAATTACTAATCTACATAAAAAAGCAGTCCTATATTGTTAATGCATGTGGGAAAAAACCAAATAAATAAGTTTAAACTCAAAAAAGTAACTGAAAACTGTAATGGATACAATGCACGTTGAAAAGATGAAACCACATCAGGTAGACAAGGATAATGCCTCCCTATCCTTCGTATGCAAGATATACTAGAGGAGAAGCTTGTGGAGGCTTCTGGTGGACTCCAAATACTTCCAACTGCAGTACGATTGCAGGCTTCAAGTTCTGCTTCTTTAGGCCAGACAGGTTCTGGTGTGCACATGGAGGGGGAAGCAAAGCACTGTCCAAGATTTCCAACCTCATGCAGACTGCAAAAAAGGATTTATATTCATACAAGTAAACTATGTATAGACAGAGTACCACAATCAAGAGATATTCGTAGAATTAGAGAAGAAAAGCCAGAGGAATATATTGAAAGGAGAGAGGGAAATCACACAATATCACATGATGGGACAGGTAATATAGTTTACTAGATAAAGCATCAACATCAACTTTTTGTAGGATTCATGCTGAGGCACCCTACTTAAAATCTCAACAATGGTTTGGTCCTATAAATGAAACTAAGGGTGTGTTTGGCAACTCCACAAAACTTGTTTTAACTGGTACAACATTGGCTCAAGACCCTGTTTTTAGTTTAGCAAAAAAGGGGCTCAAACTGAACTAGTTTTTTCTAGTTCAAAATCTTGCCCATAAACTAGTTCTTTTGTGAACCAACCCTTACATGGTTCAACTATGGCCTAGTTAAAAAAAAAAAACTAGTCTAGCCTAGTTCAATTTTGAAGTTTCTAAACACACCCTTATATCCTGGTTCCTATTTATTCAGGTACCATGCACTCTGCAAGTATGACAATCCTTTGACAGTGCATGCATGTTGTAACATATAATAGTACTAATGAAATTTGCCCACAGCTTACTGGTTAAGTTGCACAATGACACCGTACTGACTTTTTTTCTGGTATGTAATGGATACAATTAGATAAGCCATCTTTTGCAAATCAAAGCTTAACAGAGATTTGGTGTTTAAATAAAAAACAACGGTTCAATAATAAATGACATATATGTGTTAGTTTGTAAGAGGATGAAATTAAGATGTAATCCATAATACTATTGAAAAAATAACTATACAGAGTGGATTTTTTTTTAATGATTGAGCCATTTATAACCTGATATAACCATTGACACCTCCTGTTGCTAAAAGGCATGTTTCCTTTAAACCTTTTGAAGTTTGGAGGATGCCATACATTTGCTCCAAAGCGCTATCTGCAACACCAGCTGTTCTTGGATATCTCCAAACCTGTAACATGTTAAATGCAAGGTTGGTAAATGTTAACTAACTCCAAAAGTTCTATATACCAACACTTAGGATTTCAGTCTGTTAAATGATATTTTCCTTCATACTGGTCCTTGACCATGAAACTCTTCTCCTCATTGTTCACACAATATCAAACGCACTAACAAAAGAAAGATGTAGACCACAACAATTTTTACAATTTAAATAGTAAATTGAAAGATATACAAACTGTATACCGATGGATTCCTACCCGAGGACTAGAAGCTTGCAGCTTCTCAAATTCTTGCTTAAATTTGTATCTGCGCCTATTGGAAGTGATGCTTGCACCCAGAAGCTCCCTAAACTGAAGAAGCTCCAAAGGCCTCATCCTATTCCTCGGTCTCGTCTTTTTTGTGTGAGCTTTCTGCAGCATTCAAAACTCAAACGAGCTCAATCGCAAAAATCCAAACTTCTAGGGTTTACGCCACTCGACGCAAAAGGGGTACCTTTTTACCGTCTGAAGATTCAGCAGGCGAACGAGATGGGCGCTTTAATCCAGGAATCGGGCCTTTTATTGGAAAATAGCGATTTTTCTCGGGATCGAAGTAGAGACCAGGGAGATCTAAACAATAATTTTCCAATTGTTAGAAAAAAAAAGGGGGGGAAGTTAGAGAAGAAATTAAGCATTTAGAAGCACCTTTAGGCGGTGGCATCTTCAATTTAGGGCTCGAGAGGGAGGAAACTGGGAGATAAATTTTTTTCGAAATTTTTTAGAGAGGAGGGGGGCGTGCGATATTTTGTCGCTCAGCGGTACAAAAGCCTCGAGAATTTTAACGCGGGTACGGAAGGCAAGAGCAAATCCCCGGCCTTTTTGATTGCAGGCCCATCATGAGTCCGCAGCGGCACCAGCCCGTGCGTAGTATTTTCTTCTTATTTTTTTGGGTTTTTTCCAGCCGAGTGTACAATATTTATCATATTTCGTACGTCATTTTCAACTACGGAACAATCATGGTCTGTTTGTTCGCTAAAAAAAGAGAAAACTCCTTGCCATCTCAGATTTCAAGAAATCCTCCGTCACGTAGGGTTTTGGTTTCAATCGATTTTCAAATCACATGTTTGTTTCGTTTTGTGGTTTAAATAAACGAGGGTGATGTCACGTCAGATTTTTGAGAAAATTATTTTCACATAAAAAACCTCTGAAAACACTTGAAAATGTCACTTCAATGAATTTTTAATTACTAAAAACACTATTGAAACAGTGATCGTGAACAAAACAGATTATTTAATTGCTGAAAATATTGTTACTATTGCGGCTGATTCCATTTCTTTTTTTTATGTTCAAACAAACATAAGAAATGGAAATCGAAATACTATTACTATTATGGCTGGATTTGTTTCTTATGTGACGTGGCGGTGACATGACGGTGATTTCATTGCGAAACAAACAAACAAAAAGAAATGCGGAAAATCTCTTGAAATATCTCGAAATGAATTGAAATGTGAGTTTTCGATCTCCGGTTTTTTTGAAAATGGAAGTTCAATTCAGTGATGAAACGGCGGTTTAGATTTATACGAGGCGCCTGGTTCGCTGTTAAAAATCAGACGAAGCTGTCACCTGATGAAGTACGAAGGTGCTTGGATCGGATCCAGGCTGGAATTTTGGTCGGACCCAAACCCGTTCCGGTTCCGAACCCAAAATGACGAGCCCCGTTACTGCAGTGAAAATTAAAAAAAGAAAAAAATAATAATAAAAAAGGCGAAGGAGAAAGAGGCGGAGCGAGGAGGGAGAAAGAAGAAAGAAGAGCGAGCAGCCCCCCGGTGCACGTAATCCCTCGCCTTAACGTGATCCATCGGCAAAATCCCCATTCTCTCTCTCTCTCTCTCTTCCTTTCTCTCTCCACAACCAACCGAGAAGCGACACCGACAAAATGCCCGCGCAGAAGCGGTTGCTCCCCCCCCCTCCGCCGTCGCCGCCTCCTCGACCGGCGCCGGACCACGATGAGGAAGAGGGAGGAGTAGGAGGCGAGCAGAACAGGGATCAGCAGGAGGAGGAGGAGGAGGAGGAGGTCGAGCTGCTGGAACAAGAAGAAGACGGTAAGGATCAGTCTTTCTGTCGATGTTTACGATCTCGGGACTCGTACCGGTCCCATAATCAGTAACCGATTATTATTTTTATTTTTTTTTATTTTTTTTGGTCTGTGTAAGATTCGGAGGTCGAGGACGGAGGAGCCGGCAGCAGCGAGAAGGATGAGTACGTTACCTTCTTCCTCTTTCGATCGCCGTTGCTTGTTGTTGTAGATCCGATCTCGTTTCTTTGCATTTTTTATGGTATGTTGGTTCTCGCTGAGAGATAGGTTGAGCTTGAGAAATGAAAAGCTTCATGGAGAGTCTAGCTATGATGATCTGATGAGTTTTGGATGTTTTTTTAGATCGGTTTGCTGTTGCACTTATTAGGCTTCAGTAGGGACGGCGTATATATAGAATATGTAGTCGATTAGTTGCACCCCGATTGGTTCCCCGCGGTGTTATGATCAACACCGTCGAGGACATCAATCCTGCCACGAGCTCTCACCTTCACATTTTCAATTTCCGTAAGCACACCCGTTCAGTTCATAGTTTGGCTGAAGTTAAACCCTTGGTCGAGACATTGGCTTGATCGGTAATATGGAAGGGGCCCCCCTGAGAATGTAACAGGTTCATAAACTCGTCTATGCGAAAATTACTTTGAGTATGTTTTATTTCTATTTATATGGATAAATATGTAAAAAAAACTTGGATCGCTCTATTGTATTCTAATTTGTTTCATGGTGTCTGTGTACTTAATACTTGTATTTTACAATGCCCGCTGTTCCCTAACCCGATTGAGCTTTTTCTTTGTGTTCTGCATGTTCGACCGTGTGTCTATGATTGTAGAAATGATGTCTGTTCCTTGGATTTGATTTGCAGATTCATACTAGTTAAGCTGGCAGACATACGCAAAGAAGTACAGTGCCCTATATGCTTAGGTATGAAATGCTTGGAAAGTTTACTGTTACATTAGACGTCCCAAACTCCGGTCCTGGTGTTATCAGTATGTTGTGGTTGTGCGTTGGTTCTTATGCTTGCCTTGAAAACTAAGACCACCCATGATCTCCATCTTGACTAACCTCTGATACCATGTGAATACAGGGGGAATAATTCATAATTTCACGTATTCATCCTTTTGGTGTTTTACTTACTGTCATCTATATTAACTTATAATTCTTTCATTCCTTCACTAATTTTGTTCGACAGGGATAATTCGCAAGACTAGGACCGTAATGGAGTGCCTACATCGTTTTTGCAGGGAATGCATCGATAAATCAATGCGTCTTGGGTACGTTATGTGACAGTAGTCACTTTCATCTGCTGTTTTAGCATTACAATCATGTCCACTACGTCACTTCTATGTCAATAATGTTACTGAGTAAACAAGTAATAGTCTCTGAACGTTTTAAGGGTTTAAAAAAATGATATCTGTGAAACTGCATACTTGCAGAAATAATGAATGCCCAGCATGCCGTACTCATTGTGCAAGTAGGCGCTCTCTGAGGGATGATCCAAATTATGATGCTCTAATTGCTGCTTTATATCCAGATATCGATAAGTATGAGGAAGAGGTCAATATATCATCTGATTGATAACTTTTCAAACAATTGATGTTTGGATTTCGTATATATGCTTCATCTGTGGATCTCGTTCATGTCTTGAACTCTTGATGCAGGAATTGGCTTTCCATGAAGAGGAGAAAAATCGCAATAAGAAGGTAGTACGGCACCATTTAATTTGTTTGTATTATTGTATATGATATCATAATAGTCCTGACTTTGGCTAATAATATACTTTCCTATGAAATAGTCTTTCATTATTTTAACTAAATATGCAATCTAATTCCCATTCAACACAAGTAACACAGAAATTCTGCAACAAGATTTTATTCTGAAACTCAAGCTGTTCTATTTATTATCTATATTAGGCTACCTTTAATTTTAATTTGAACTCATTTTCTTAGTCATACTCTTAGTATTTCTTTTGTTCCATGTTCATATACTTGGTCTGGAATTATACAAGATTGCCTCTGGAAGCTTTTTTCCATCCCTCCTTTTACCATTCCTAACAGTATTTATTTGCTAATAGATTCAAGCTTCCATAGCCGAAACATTTCGACGACAGTCTAATGCCCTGGGAAGGAAGAAGCCAACAGCTAAAGCTACAGCTGCTGCTTTTGTGAGGAGATCTCAGCATCGGAGATCTCATGCCCGACGTAGAAGTAGCGCTCATGACATTTCACTCGCAGAATCTGAGGACGAGGAAGAGGAAGAAGATGTCAATGGCAATGCTAGCAAAGAGTCGTCCTCTGCAGATGAACCCTCTGCTGACAAAAGGCAAAAGAGACGTAGTATCTCTGGGAATGCTGATATTGATGGTGAAGAAAATGTTGACGAAGAAACAAGAAGAGGAAACAGAGGGACTTCGCCTCTGATAATTGGAAATGGAGAAATGCTTGCATGGGGTAAGGCCGGCATTCGAAGCCAGGGCGGCATTCGAAGCCAGACCAGGGCAGCAAATGGTAGGTTTATAAAGGGTGGGCGTATACCGAAGTTGGTTGAATATGTACGTAATTTAGATGAAAATAATAATGAGGTATGATGTCGAGGAAGGATCATTTATGTTTTGATATTCAATACCTCATGTTACCATATGTTTGCATTGATATGGAATTGTTGTGTTTTTTTGTTTCAGCTTGATGTACATCTTACTCTGCTTCCTCTGGATCCACAATCTGTGCATAATATAGAGAGGCCATACATTTGCTGCCGACCAACATTGTGCATAAGACATCTTTGTCAAGTGATTCTTTTCTTATACTATCCCTTTATGCTAAATTATTTTAAAGGGTAAATTGCAGATAGCCGCTCTTATCTATACCTTCAGAAGCGCTGATCACCCCTTAACTCATATATAAGTAGCAATTATCACTGTGGTTTGAATTCATCAAGGAGAGGGGGTTTGTCAACAATGTACCCTTCTCAAAATTTCAATCCAGTTGTGACATATGCTAATAAACGATTAGAGGGATGATAAGTGCTATTGAAGGTATAGATAAGGGAGTTGTCTGCAATTTACCCTTCTACAAATTTGGAAGATTGCTTTTGCTTAGGTAGTATAGATTTTTGGATGCAGTATATTGCTCTTCAGGCATCAGTAAATGTGGAAGAAATTGAGATATTTGCAAGGAAGCCTGAAGGTGGAAGCTTGGATTTTAAGCCATCTACTCCAGTGGTTAAGTCTGATCGTTTACTGCAAGTGGTGGGAGCACAACAATCCCTGGGAGCATTGCGTGATTCCTCGACTGATGATAGAGGGGAACTGGTGAGGGCTTAAGGCAACTCCGACTATCATCAATTTCTGATTACACTATTTGTTTTATGTTTTGATGTGTCTTGTTATCTTTCAGGTATTGGTGTACCGTTTGAAAGATGCAAAATTAGGCGAACATACAGCATAAATTCTTCAGTTTTCTGGTCATTTGTGATGATGCCGTGACCAAGAGTCTCCGGGGACACATTCTGATATGAGAAGGTGTTCATAACAATACCTATAGCAAGCAGAGTAAAAGTTGTTTGTTGAAATGGTTGTTTTCGGTTTGATTGAGGGGAAAAGAGCTTGGACATGCTTACCTTTTCTTTTTCTTTTATCCCTACTTTTTCTATTTATGAGGAACTTAGCATTAATATTATGTAAAAATCCCGCGGGGCAACCCATTTTCAAAGAAATGGAAGTAACAACATTTTCCAGATTTTTTCTTCAGCATTTCTATATTGTTTTTATCGCCCAGATGTATACGCTCAGGTTTCCTAAGCATTTTCTGGTGACCATTTGCACGGTTGATTTTTCTAAAACTCATCTGATGAGGCAAATTTCTTAATAGGTTAAGTTTGTACAAATGGATTTACTGTGATTTTGTATCTGAGTTGTTCTTAACTTTAAACAGGTAACCTCTTGCTCGGTTAAACTGTTTTCGAGTAGAAGTTAGTGTTTCCTTTACATCTGTTATTACGTGCAAATGAGATGTAAATTTGTCGTTATCTTTTGAAAATCTACTGTGGTATTTGTTCTTGTAGTGTTTAAGCACCATCTCCTGAATTTCTGCTGATGTTCATGTTGTTGGTCTTACAGCTTTTTATGATGCATATTGTGAGGAATTTTAACCAACAAATCTCTTTGATTTAGAGCAAACAAAAGCTACATTTTTTTTTCATCCATAGCTCACAGTGCAAATCAGATCAGACTCCGAGAATATGACGTGATAATCTAGTACCAAAACAAACTGTTGTAAGGAGTATGCATTTGATGAGTGACAGAAATTAGTTTGAATACTGAAAATTTTCACAATGGGCGCGCAACACAGCTTTTTGGTCACGTAGCTCAAACCTACGCAAATTATAGAACAAAAAAACGTTGAAAATGATACATTACAACTAAATAAAATCAACTCTGAGAGCACAAGACAAGGTAAACAGACGCATAATATCCCAACTGATACTGCGGAACAAAGAGAAACTGCAGAAAGCCCAGAGAATACCAGAGTTACAGTTCCTTTGGTCTCAAACATCTCAAAAGTAGACTAACTCATTTGAGTACAGAGAATACCCTTGTACACTTATAGCTCAGGGAGAAGTACAACCCTTTCAAATTCATACAAGAACTTGCCGTGATGCCATGCCCAATGTCAGAACTCTCAAGTCTCAACTCATTTCATATCAGAACCAAAATTATTAGAATATCCTGGCAACTGCATGTTCTCTCTTATCAGCTCAAGCAAAATCCTCACTCATCCGTCGTTGGCATGCGTCGCCAAATTCCAGCCAAAGCACTGCCATAGATTGAGTGACAAATGCTTGAAACAGCACAAGGGACTGCAGTCAGAGGGTTCCCAAAATGCTGAGTCGCAAGCACTAACCCTAGCATCGAATTCTGCCAATATACCAAAACACAGAAGAAAATAGCTTAACGCGCATAAGCGATGGGTGATAGGGTTTTTGTCATATTGGAACCCTAAATATTTGTTATTTCTATAGCCATTAAGTTGTTTTAAATAGGACCCCCAAATCTATTAAATTGTTTTGAATAAAACCTTACAAACAAATGTGAAGATTTGGGGTTCTAGCTTAGAAATAGGAACATTTGAGGGTCTAACATAGAATTAGCAAAGAGTTAGTGGTCTTATATGACAAAAATCCATGACGACAACATACAATTTGGTTCTACAATTTCAATCACCACATACCTGCATGCCAACCTCAATTGAAATGGTTCGGGAAGAGGAAACATCGATTCCTAACAACCTTGAGAACACATAGCCAAAGAAAAATCCAGAACCATGAAGAGCGAAGACAGAGACAACTACTTGGAATCCAGATGTGAAGATTGCAGAGGCATTTTGAGCAATAGCGCTACCACATAGAATAGCTACAGTTGCGACAGCAATGAAGGGCATCAGAGGAGAAATTAGCTCAACCAAGTCATTACAGTACTGGTTCAGGGCAGCGCCCACTAACACTGGAGCAAGCACTACCTGTATTCATAAGATCATGAAGTTGATGATGATGATGATGTACAAGTAATTTTCAAGAAGTGTGTAGCATACGAAAACTTCTCCCACATAACCATCCCCCACCCCACCCCCAACCCAAAAAAAAAAAAAAAGTAATGGAAATGCCCCTTAGAAAAAGAAGACTTTTTCATTCTTTTTGTAATTATTTTTTGCAAAATGAACCCTCACATTAGGCAATTTGCAAATATACACCCTCCACCCAAAAAAAAAACACGCTCACAAAAACACTAGTCTAATGAAGTTAATTAAGGGGCATTCTCATCACTTTTGGGTTTGGGAAATTTTTTTGGTGTTTAGTGGGCAAAACAAATTTTTTTGGGGGTTTTTTTTGGCGTGAGTTGTGTGTGTGTGTGTGTGGGGGGTGGGGGGTGGGGGGGGTTGGTTCATGGGAAACACACCAAAATATTTTGGGGTCCTGTGCAATTTATTCGTGAAATGAGATACAAAAATTACGACTTTAATTACTATTTTCCATGTACGATTTGTTCGCATTTAAATCCCCACAGGCGAGCATCTATACAAAATCAACAGTATAATTTATGATCTTACAAGTGACCACTGTTTCAAAAAACCTCCGCCTAATCCGCCTAGGCGTACGCCTAGACCTAGGCGGTACCTTGGCTGCCTAACTAGCGCCTAGAGCCTAGGCGATACCTAGGCTACCCACCTAGATTTTGTGAGTGTTTAGGGAACATTGTTTGCTTACATGGATTGTACCCTTTAGGCCTTGACCGTGATTTTCTGTGTTGCAGCCTCCACATCCTCCAACCTCCTTCAAACTCGTTTAACCTCCAAATATGAACACCTCCACTACCTCCTTCGAACTTCAGCAAAACTTCCTCGACTACCACTTATATAAAGAAAGAAATCCGCCTAGACACTAGTCCAGCATCTAAGCTTTCTATAACATTAACATTTACTATCAATTATTGCAATTAAAAAAGAAAAAATAAAATCTCCTTGGCTCTAGGCGATGGGTCCAATGTCTAGGTCTCCTAGCGCTTCCTATAACATTGTTAGTTATTATTTTGACTATTCAGCATTTAAGTATGCATGGTTTATTGTGTAACTAGGATTGCTATCCTTTTTTTTTGCGAATTTATATGAATTTAATATATATTATTATCAATTATTATAATTAAATAATTTAAAAAATAGCCAAACGCCTAAGAACCGCTTAGGCATACGCCCAGACGTCTAGGCGTTAGGCGCTAGCTCAAACGCCTAGTCCGCCTAGCGCCTTCCGTAACATTGCAAATGACCTCATAAGATCAGTTTAATAGTTCTCAAATGCAAGGTGGTCTTTTACCTGCACTGTTGATATAAAAAGTCCAGTTGGGTCTACTGCAACAAATTGTCCAGCAAGTTTCGATGTCAAAAATGGTGTCATTACCTGCAGTCAGCAACCTAATAACATTGAAACCTTGAAAATGAAAATATAACAAATAAAAAAGTGAAGAAGATGACAGGAAAGGTTTTTACCGCAGCAGTGAAGGTGCTTACTGCAGTCATAATCACAGAAAGGGCTACATTTCCTCTGAGACACAATGAAATAACATTAAAACATGTACTTGTACAATTATTAATTTATAAGTCATAAAGTAATATAAAAACTACCTAGCAAGATATGTGACTATATTACTTGCTGTGCCTCCTGGGCAGCAGGCAACCAGTATCAAACCGGCAGCATAATATGAAGGCAACTTTAACAGTTTGCTCACAAAAAATCCTGATAATGGCATCACCTGCAAGCAAATAGTTCAATCAAGACCAATATTTGGGACACACATCTCACCTAAAAAGCGGGTATAAGTCAAATATAAAGAAGTAAAACTTGCTAAAATAGAACAAAGTAGCAGAAAATCAGAAGACTAATTTAAGGAATGAAAAAGCACACAATGTTTACTTATAATAGAAAATTCTGTTTAATGAAAATTCTGTTTAATGGTTCTATGTGCATGGCTCGGACTAACTAACAAATCTTATTGCTCACATCGCAACTTCTTCGTCACTAGGAAAATTTTATCCTTCAATGTCAAAGAAACCATATTGATCCTCTTAAAAGTCCCTGCCGATGCACAATCTCTGAAGTCATGTATTCATGGCCCTTTTCCGTGGTTGGAAACCTTGATCTGCCTTTTTAAGTAGTCTGCTTAAAGTACACATCCAATTGGATTTAAACCTAGGAAGTTCTGATATTAATAAGTTCCAACATTGCAACAAAAGCGTGATCATCCCTAAACCTAATGATAAAGTTAACAGAATGGCACCCCATACTATCAGGCTGTGACTTGTTTCAAGAGCTTAAAAATCCACTAGAAGCATCAAATTTAACCAATACAAGCAAAAAAAAACTTGGTGCGTGCATTATCGTTGAGGGAACTGATAACACCCAAGACTGCAAATATTAGTTCATTCGATATAAGGTTGGCGCTCATGTGGACATCTAAAACTGTTGATTTTATAGGAACAATTTTTCACTGTAGACCCGATCTGCGTTTTTATTACCAAAACCGACCGAAAATTTTTTTAATTACCAAAGTCGACCCGTTTTATGCCACGTAGGCTTAAGCTCATTTCCTAATTAGTCGGGGTTGCCAACCCCGACTGTTTAGGAATTGTTAAACCCCAATTAAATCAGGTTTAAGGCTTCTAATTACGGTTTAACAACTCCTAAACAGTCGGGGTTGGCAACCCCGACTAATTAGGAAATGAGCTTAAGCCTACGTGGCATAAAACGGGTCGATTTTGGTAATTAAAAAAATTTTCGGTCGGTTTTGGTAATAAAAACGCAGATCGGGTCTACAGTGAAAAATTGTTCATTTTATAGTTAAGGACAGAACTCCAAGACAAGACAACAGCGATACCGTATACTGAAGCACAAATCCAGCAGCCAACTGCTTAGGCATCAACAGCACAGCTCTCAGATCATCGAGCGTCAGCGTCATCCCCATCCCTAAATCATTCCAAAATGAACAACTAACTCACCCAAAAAAATTTAAAAAAATTAAACAAAATCTATTAAAAGATCCAATACCGAGCATTGTAAGCGTGAGACCCACGATCTGAAAATTCCGGCCAACCCAAAGAAACGCCGGCGGCCGCCAGAGAGCGACGAGGGAAGCGGACCCCACCCAAATTGGGAACCCCAATGAGAGGGCTTCACCCAATCGAACGATGAAATCACGGCCACTGAAGGTCTTAGCTTCATTCACTTCGCTGTCGCCGCTGTCGCTGCCGCTTGGTGACGAACGAGAAGCAGGCCGCCTGCAATGATTGTGTTGTGTGGTGCTCTGCTGGGTTTTAGAGGTAGTTACAGGGTTCAGGGTTTTGGGTTAGGGCCGAGAGGCTGACGGAGATGGTCGGGGCTAGGGTTTGGTGGGCTTTCGAGCGGCAGAGGAGGGAGGATTTGGGGGCTGGAGACTGCGGGAGGCTGATCGTGTTCATTTTTTAATTATTTTTTAATGAAAAATATCCTAAGGATATAAAATAGGGAAAATTTGCAAAATAGATCATTTTTATGAAATATATAGCGAAATAGACCACTTTGAAAAATAATTAGCAAAATAGATCTATTTTGAAAAAAAGAGGTCGATTTTGAAAAACAAGGCTCAGAAAACATACGGGACTACTAGTCCCGAATGTTTAGAGCCAACTAATCACGGATTAGTGACTAAGAAAACATACGGGACTAGTAGTCCCGTATGTTTTCTGAGTAGAAAATTTCACTGATCCGTGATTAAAACATACGGGACTATTAGTCTCGTATGTTTTCTGAGCTGTTTTGCAAAATAGACCTCTTTTTGGCCTGTTGGCCAAAAAGATGTCTATTTTGCTAATTATTTAGCAAAACGGTTTATTTTGCTAAATAATTAGCAAAAACGGTCTATTTTGTAATTTTTCCCTATAAAATATGGGATCAATCAAGAGGACACCTGAAGTTTCTCCCTCCTATTGCATAATGAGCTAGTGATAATGATATGTCCAGCTCATTATGCAACAGGAGGGAGACATCTCATATGTCTCCCCGTTGGTCTCATATTTTGGGTCCTTATAGCGAAGTTCTTTTTTAATTTCAAATTTCAGATCGCCTAGTTAATCTGTTATCAATTTTCGAGCGTATACTTGCGAAGAGGCTCTAGCGGTCAAGCAACAGTCGCTCGCCCTCTCATTCGACCACGTGGCATGGCGCCGCAGCGAAAAAGTCTAACGGCAGTCGCCCTCTCATTCGACCACGTAACATCTACGGTGGTGAACACCGGTTCTTTAGATCCTCCTCTAAGGGCCCGTTTGGTTGACAAAAAAAAAATAAGTTTTTTTTGTCAGCAGAAAGCCTGCCAAAACGTCAGTTTAAGCGTAGCTCCAGTAGTGCTCGAAATCGAGCGAGAGAAAATTGTGTGCTGTTCAAAACTGACAGGGATATATAAACTGTGCATAGCCGATTTGGGCATAGCAAGTCATCACCCGAAACTGCGCGGGAGCGAAACGTGCGTTGCTTGAAATCATAAGGAGATGGGGAGGATAATTAGTATGAGTGCACCTGTCATTGCTTGATCTCGGTTTGGAAACGATGAAGATGATGGGAAACTTTGTTATGTTTTTTATTTCATTTATTTGCCCTTTTTGAGCGATGTATGGTGTGTTTATGTCCGTTATGTAGATTTATTTACGAGAGTTTTCATTGATTTTGTCAATGTTTCTTGTTGTTTTGTAATGGAGGATTTATCTTACCTTTATCCTCTGTGTCTACTTCACGTCGTTCACACTTGGGTCCATAGCTCAGTGGTAGAGCAATTGACTGCAGATCAATAGGTCACCGGTTCGAACCCGGTTGGGCCCTAATAAGAAATTTAATTTTTTGGGCCCTGTTCAAAGTGGCATATTTTACCGTCTGAATTGAATCTTTCTCAAGCTTATTTTATACTCTCAATCAATTATGCCTTTTCTCAAAATAAAAGAAATCTTTTTAAACCAGAGCTTCACTATCTAATAGATTATTTTTTAGCCAAGTTTATTGTATGTGTTCCTCTCATTTTTTTTATTTGTTGGAGGAAAATTAGGGGTGGAAATGAACCAAATAATTAATAAATAGTTCGATAATTGTTCGAATAACTATTCGGTCATATTCGATTCGGTAGTTCACTGCTAAACAAATATTTTTTAGTATTCGAGTTTACTAATAAATAGAATTTAACCAGATGCATATTCGATTCGTTTGTTTATTAAATATTGGTTTAAAATTTGATCACAACTAATTATTTGTATTATTGCACATATGATGTTATATTTTTAACCCACTTACCATTTCTACTTAAGTTTTATACATTGATTTTAAGATTCAAATAATCTTAAATCTATTTTCTAATTAAAATCTTGATTTAAATATATATACATCATATATTATAAAGGAATAATTTTTATTTATGAATTTTAATACTATTTGAAAATCAAATTCTTTAGAAGAATAAATATACTTTAATATTTGATAAGCATTCGTGAATATTCATGAATATTTATCAAATACCAAGTATTCGAGTTCGAATTCGAAAAACTAGATATATGAATATTAGAGTATGCATTCGAATTTGATAATTTTAAACAAATACAAATACGAACACTTTAGTATTCGGTTCGATTCGATCGTTTACCACCCCTAAGGAAAATACTCCTCTCAGTTAATATACATAAGTTTATTAACAAACAAAAAGAGTATTTATAATTCTGTTACAACATAGCTCTTAATCTTCTGTATTATGATGTACCTTCTCACAACCCGTACATGAGTAAAGTCTTTTTGTATATTTAACCAAGCTTCATTTTATGCTCCTCTCTAATGTATGTAATTTTTTTGACTAATAGAAAAAAAATTAGCTTGTTATAACATTCTTTATTATGATGTACCCACAAGATCCACACATGAGTAAGTCTTTTCATATATTTAACCCATGAAATCATCCTCAAAATCATTAGAAAGTTAACCGCTCAAAAGATCAAAGGAAAATTGCTTCAAGACCCCAAAATTAAAAAAATAATGTGCAACAGCTCCATGTACTTTTATTTTATTTTTTTGAGAAAAAGGATGGATCACCACAAAGGTAATCCAGCCAGCTAAATTAATCAAAAATGGTTGTTACATAAAAATACACACCCCCAACCAAGAGTGAGTATTATAGTCCATAACAGAAACTACATACAAAGACCCCCTGTACTTTTATTATTTTGTATAAACCCAAAATACACTGTAAAAGTTCATTTCAACCCCTTCAGCTCACGAGAATGAGCTGTAATTCTCAGAAACCCGACTCTACCCTTCCCGCCCACTCCGCTACAGCCTCCGTGCGTTGGTAACGGTGCCCGCCCACTCCGCTACTATCGAGGCTCTCTCTCTCTCTCTCTCCTCTCTCCCTTCCGCACTCTATCTCTTGCTCTCCCTCCGGCGAAAAACCAAAATCTGCACTCTATGGTTAGGTCGGAACCGGATCGAAGATGGCGAAAAAATCGGCGAACGAATTCGAAGTTGTTCACCATCCTCCTCCGTCGCTGCAACGTCAGGAACATGCACCGATGAACGACGATCGAGAAGACTCGCCCTCGCCTTCCAAGACCGACGAAGAGCCCCCTTTGCGATCTGAGACCAACCGTGCTACCGATTCTCTCACATCCTCCCCCGTCTTCAAGTCTTCGTCCACCCATGCGTCATCATCAGGGAATGGCAGCACCGATGAAGCCACCCAGACGTTGTTAAGCTTCCAAAGGGGTGTAAGGAGAAAAAGAAAAATTACAAGTTCACAAAACGCACCACAGAAATCCATAAAAGAAGTAAGATAATGTTATATGTTATATTTTCCAATTTAGATAGATTAAGGTGCATTGTGAACTATATGCATGGACATTGGTTGAAGGACATGTTAGCTGATACCTTAATTCTTCAGAACTCTCAAATTCTTGACCCTCTTCATTTAATGCATTATGCCACCAACCAGGAATCATTAATATGTTGTTAACAATGTCATCGGACCGCACTACAATGCTACCGCTGGGATTATCAATTAGAATTCTTTCTGAACCATGATTTGCGGCAGAAGTGCTATCAATAAACTGTGGCTTCAATGTATTCATAATGTTGCACAAATATAATTGTTTTTTCTTAAAATAACGAACAAGACTTGTAGTTAAATTCTGCAGTACCTTTTAAAAGTTAACACATACGCCCTAAAGCTTAACAACCTTGAGTAGAAAGTTAACATATATCAGTTAAAAGCTAACATTTAACCTGAAACAATTCGCTATGTTATCATTTCTCCAAATTTTACTCACACAATTCACAAGTTCTCAAAAATTTAAGTGTAAATATAACTTACATTTCAGGAGGTTGCTTCGGGGTGTTCTAACATCTGGAAACATCTACAACTATAGTAGCTTGAATATGGATCTCCAAACACCCGATATTACGGTTGTGCACCACCATACACTCCATATCATCCTCATTCTCAATCTCAAAACTCAAATCAGGGATCCTTTCAGATTTATAAATCATTGATAACGCATCATAAGGAACCTTCAACCTCTCAGTCACGTCAAACTTAAACTCAAAAAAAGAGGTTGCACACGTTACCCTTGAGAACACTGCTCTCTCACGCAAGGAAACCATGCAAATAAGGGGGTTCTCCGCCATAAATAAAGGGGATTTAAGAGATTTATGAAGGGCACTTTAGGACAAGTAGGGGGTTGAAGATCATAAGCCCTAACGACATAAATATGCCCTTTGCACCATAAATACACTCTATTCAAAGACAAGTGGGTTAAAAGGATATATAATGGAGGGAGCGCGCCAAAATTTCCCCCAAAAACGGCCATCACCTCGCCTTAATTGCGATGGGAAGGGATCGCCAGGGATCGGATCACGTTTTCGAGGCACGGAGAGAAAGGCGGGGGTATTTTAGGGTCTCTGGGTGCAAATACGGCTGAGAGGATGGCATTTAGGGCTCAGTTATATTTTTTTGAATTTTTAAGGGTTTAGCCATATGGGCCAAAATACATGGATTTGGGCCACATGAGAAGTCAAAATTTGGGGCATTGAAGCAATTTTTCCAAAGATCAATGCAGCTTAAGCGCATAATCAATTTTGATATATTTAGAAATACTCCACTAATTGCCAGTTAGAAAATTGACCGCAAGGCACATATTTTATAAATATATCTTTAATTAACTTTTAAAAAATCTTGATCATTTTAGAATAAGCAGCTCTTGATACCTAGCATAAAAATACAATTGGATAGGACACTTTCAAATTCAAGAAATTTGAAGTGGGCTGCGTCTAAAATACCTTTCACTATCAAATATAGGATATTTGTTTTCCTAATGGCTGTGGCTCTTGAAGAAATTAACTAATCTTCTGTGTTTTTTCAGCAAATAAAATTGAATATTTAAAGCTGTATATTTACTGAGCGGCCCAGTAGGTCACATGACAAAACTATGAGCGGCCCAGTAGGTCACATGACAAAACTATGTCACTCCCTCACAGAGGATCTGAGTTCATTTCCCACGTGCGCCAAAGCGCGATAAAAAATGTATATTTACTAGCTTGTTGTAAGCAAAAGCACAGTTACACTCAATTAAGTCAGGTAAATTCAATCTTCGAATAACTATGTTTCAACTGTTCAAAGAGCTCACAGAACAGTATTTTCTATTGTGAAAAGAATAAAAAGCTCAAACTCGAGCTGGGAAAACACCATAATAATAATATATAATATAATACAAAAAACGCCAGTCTGATAAACAAAACAATTTTCCTTGAAATTAATAAACCAGCAATATAAACATATCATGAAAACATATCTCTAATCTTTCCCTCAGTCTGTGTAGTCTTCTAACTATACAGTCATAAACTTTATAAAGCATGTATTCAGTCCCATCAATTGTTTTGTGGTTCATATCAGGCTATCAGCTCCTGCGTCGGTAAAGAACATAGATAACCGAAAATTCCAATATAATTCATATGGGACTGCTCATCTGAATGGCGAGATTTGTAAAATTATAGCGACATGAGCACTTATCCGCCAAAAAAGCCAAGTCGCTGACAGATGAAGGCTAGGATCAACATAACGATTGCGAGGATTAATCCAGGTTTTCCCAGCAACCAATTCTTTGTTTTCTTTACTGTTTCAACACCTCGCTGTGCTCTTTCTGCCCACCGCATCTGATAAAAGGGGGAAACAACTTTAGTAGACAGAGGAAGTATCAAGTACGATCTTAGTATATCAACAATCTGTCATATTAATGCGTACGTGTGCCACAAGAAAAATAAATAATTAAGGCCACATTACTAATCTATATTCTATTTCTATCAAATAACTTAAAACTTGCAAGCATAATCAAGAAACAGAACTGCACACAATTTTAAAAGTGGGCAGGTGGACGATCATTTTATTTTTACATATTCCAGCATCAAATATTCATATCACTTCAACATTTGAGCCTCATCTGCATTTTTCGTGAGATTGACACGTTTACAAGGAGACACGCCATGATTCTTCTACACTTTTTTTCTGCCAATTACTTTGCCGTCAGGCTTTATGTTGAGCCTGTTTTATCAGTTTCCATTAATCCGAACCTTGTAGACTACATGTATATGCTTGGCATTTCTTAGCCGCTATAAAAGCACCAATTCTGTGCATAATATGACAGAGGATCAGAAAAAAAGTTCTTTCCGTATGGCCAGATTGAGCTCATTAACGTCCTAAAAAGTGTGCGGTTTCTGGTTTCAACCCTAGACAGAGTATCCTTTTTTAGGAGTCATGGGATATGCAGAGTAAAACGCCACACTTTCACCAATAAGCTTAAGAAGCATGTGAATAAAACTTCACTGTTTGAACCAATAAGCAGGCATGGGAAACAGAAGGCCCAGGCTTTGAGGAACCCAGATTGTAGATGTCGAAAGAAAAAATTAGTTAATTTGACAATTATGGGGGAAAGTACCAGAAAATTATACAGCTAAATCTAAGAAAAACAAAGAAAAAATAATCTAAGAAATATGGTCTACCGAAGGCTTGCATACCATTTTATCCAGTTCTTCTGGTGATAACGATGACATTGTCTGGTGAGCCTTTGCTGCATCCTCTTTTGATAGCTTCATCCCATACTGTTCACTCATATTCACCATCATTTCTGGGCTGATGCTTTTCATCATAGATGTAAACATCTGCCAATTTGATCTCACTCATATTCACCATCATTTCTGGGCTGATGCTTTTCATCATAGATGTAAACATCTGCCAATTTGATCAAATCAAGGGAATAACATATCTAGTGGCTGATGCTTTTCATCATAGATGTAAACATCTGCCAATTTGATCAAATCAAGGGAATAACATATCTAGTATAGAACAGGAAAAACCAAAGGAGTTTAAACATTGTTAAAACTTTCTAAGCAAACTTCCAACCTGTCGCATTGCTGGGTCTTTCATTGAATTTCTCAAAGTTTCCTGCAAATCAGCAGATGAACCTGGATGGCTAGATGACGCCTGAGCATTTCTTGAATTGGAAAACAATGTATCAGAACTACTTTCTCTTGCATCAAGGTGGTCCATAGTATGACTTCCTTCAGCAGTTGATGCTTGATATCCACTTTCAGATCTCTGGGTGGTATTTTCTGATGTGGAGTTTGAAGGAAAACCATTAAGATTCATTGAAGACACAATTTCAGACTTCTTTTGAACCTCTTCAAGGGACATATTGCTCATCCTGTCAGAAGCCATCTTAACCATTTCAGGTGTCATTTCTGGAATTTGTGAACTTAACCTACTCTCTGATCTCTGAATGCTGCCATCAGATGCAGCATTTGTGCTGCTCACATTCATCGAATAGGCAATTTCAAGCATCTTCTGAAGCTCTTCAGGAGGCATCTTGCTCATATTATCAGATGCCATCTTAATCATTTCTGGCGTCATCTCTGGCATTTGTGAACCGAACTTTGATCCATCTCCATTAGTATTTGGAAAGTTTGGGGCTTTTCCTTTCAAAGAAGAAGCAACTTCCAGCATTTTCTGAAGCTCTTCAGGCTTCATCTTGCCAATCATACCCGAGGCTGTTTTAACCATATCAGGTGGCAATCCTCCAACACCCATAGCTGATAGCTTATCAGGATTGGCATTTGAAATATAATTTTGGAATGACCTGACACAAGTTAATTCATAAACAGATAAAATTAGTAAGAATATAGAGCCAGGTAAAAAAGGATAAACTATGCCCTGTATACATACTGATTAGTAGTTATAGACAATGATCTGAAAACAACAGGAAACAAGCCTGTGGCACTAACGTATTTTTTGTAATCCCAACCATAATTGCTGCTCTTCATAGTATAAGATAAATGAAATATGATAAGATTTTTTTTTAATCACATGGTTCTTTTGGATGAACTCCATTTATACTTTGGCTTTGAGAACCATATAAGGAAGCAAGCCTGCATGGAAAAATAAAAAATTAAACAAGTATCGAGTATACCTGATGGCTTCAGGACTGTCTCTTAAGCTCTTTAAGTACTCAACATCAGCAGCAGAAGCTCCATTGTTTGACCTGCCATTTTCAGAGAGTTCACTGGCCTCAGCCGGCTCAGACAAAGACCATTCTGAAGATGAGATTTTATCACTCTCTGATTGTACTGGATCGGTCTCTTCTTCATCTATTTCTTCGATAATTAAACCTGAATAATCCAGGTGTATCAAAAGAGACATAAGTGATACTTTACAATCCAACTAAAGAAAATTTTCATCACTCAATCAGAAAGGGACAAGAAAAACTACATACCTCTCGACGCATTCTTGTCTCTAGCTTCCATCAATTTTTTATTGGCATCTCTGCATCATTACACAAGAATCACACATACTGATATCACAAAAATAGTGCATTTATAGTACATAAAAGTATCCCACCCACAAAAGGGATTCCATACCTGAAAACTTCTGCTATAGTCTCATCTTCTGGAGAAAATTTATGTGCCTTTCTCAAGTCGGAAACAGCAGCCTGATCAAGCGGTGAGTGAATAATACTATCATTAGTGGATATGATGCTTTAAAATGGAGACAAGATGGTGGACAGTGGACACAATAATTGTTTAAAATCAAGACACGAGAGTGAAACTATGTTGCATATATCAGATTCCATATACTTTTTGAAGTAAATTGCACTATACAAATTTTCAAGTAATGGATATGAATAGACATATTTATCATGTCTTGGTGTGCCATACATGCCGATTTTTTGTTTCGGAAGTTTATATATCGTAAAAATCAAATGACGCTAGATGATTTAGAGAAAACCTAAACTAGGATTTCCTCTATAAAAAAATAATTGGAGATTTCTCACTAGAATGTGGTCAGCTTCTGAAGCAAAACCTAAACTAGAATTCATGAAAAGACCCCACAATTCTTCACCCACAAATGGTAGGCAACTTCCAGGCCACAAAAACTCTGGGCAAGAGGGTAATTGTTATAAATAGACATCTACTGAAATAAAATAGCTTTCTCATATCATAGATTCTACAGGAAGATTTCTTCAAAAAGTTCCAAATAAGCCATTAGTAAGCAATAAAAGCTTACCTCCAAATTCCCAAGTTCTTTATATGCTTGACCTCTGCGATAAAGAGCTTTAATATTATTTGCATCATATACCAGAACCTGGAATAAACAATAATACCACTTAGAAAAGGTGAAATGATAAATCATGCTCTAACAAGAGAAACTACATATTTAAGCTCTTGCATGTTTAAACCAAAATTATAGTAGAGTAATTTGTTTGACAAAATCCTAAAACTGGAATCGTGTAGTGCTATAGGACGTATTATGCTTATAAAGCCTTGTAGATATACTTTATTCACAATTTCAAGAGCCATGATGGGTCTACTTGATTCACAATTACAAGAGAGAGGGAGAGAGAAGGGCAGTAATTTAAGACAATGTACCTCTGAACCTTCCTTGATGCACTCTTCGAGTTGCCCAGTTTTCAGGTAACATGACATTAGATTAAGAGAACACTGCAACTGAAGAGTTCCCATCTCGGCTGACAGGATGCCTTTCAAGTTGTTTTTTGCCTGATTATGCAAAATGATCAGATTAATAAATGAATAAATGACATATCAGATAATATTGAGAATAAGCAAGCGCTAAAGAGTACATTGGCAAAAGTATACAAATACAAGAAGAAATTTAATATAAACATACAAGAAGATATTTATTAGCAGCCTCACGATATAATCCACGGCCATGGAGCTTGTTCCCCTGAAAACAAGAATAAGAAAAGAATATAATCAGACCGTGATTTATATGATTATATCAAAAGCATGGAGAGGTAATTAAATAGATGATGATAATATACGAACACGAGAAGCACAACCTCACTTACGAGAAAGGCTTTGGTACACAAGGCAATCACCATTAAAACATAAAAATGAACAGAATCCCACCCACCCCCACCCCACTCCCCAAACCAAAAAAAAACTCACTAGCTGCCAACGAAATTTCTTTTTTATCGTTAGATCTTTCCAAAAAATATCGTCCTTTATATCACTTAGCTTTTCGATGATCTGCTCATCCCTCTACATGCTGCCATGCCAGTCTACCACATCGAACCTATCAGAAGATTATAAACTTTTATAGAGTGTCCGCGCGATATATATTCCACAAACATATATATCATGTGTTACATTGCTGTTAGTAGTGAAAGTTTTTATTATAACACTGCATGATGAATATTGGCCTATGCCTATGTGGCACCCCCACCCCCAACCCCCAAATCAAACTGTAAGCTGCGCCTCGGATCTAGCTTAACTGAGGACAATTCTAACCAATTTTTATTCGCACTTAATAGAGATAGAATAAAACATCCTGCTTCAGCATCTGAGCTGCACTTATTTCATAAGAGACCTGTGCATCTGCATGAGCCTTCATAGCTGCAATCTCTTCAGGCTTCGCTTTAGCCACTTGCTCGCCAATTTCTACCATATCCTCGGTTCTTGTGTGTTTTAGCTGCTCTGCAGCATGCCTCAGATCATCAGGCCTCAGATTCTTCATACTTTCTGATGCTAATCTTACAAGCTCAGGATTGGACATCATCTGTAAGATAATCCACAAACAAATATTTTAAGTCAGGTTATTCTGGCAAAAGTAAAGGTTACAGTCAGAAATAGATTTTGTTATTAGTAAGTAGTTAGGTTGGTATCATGTAAAGTAACATGCAGTATGACAATGATCAACCTAGTATGCAATCGGTCACCTGTGTAGCAGCTCTATTTCTTGAAGGATGCTAAAAACAAGTACAAACAAAGTAAGGACGATGGTGGAAAATACCGCAATCAGGTGAATTCATGTAACACAAGAAAATTTAACTCAAGCGTATTAGTGCAAGATAAATGAAAGACTCGGGCAACTGTTACATACGTTCTAACAGGGGATTGCTGGTAAGTTCACTAGGTCTTTCTTTGTGTGTATGTGCATGGGCGGGCATGTGTTCGGTTGGTGTAATTTGATTTGGTTTTTGGTGCTTTGGGTATCCATTAACTTCCTAAGTGGTAACTAGGTATTGAAAGGTAATTTGATTTGGTTTTTGGTGCTTTGGGTATCCATTAACTTCCTAAGTGGTAACTAGGTATTGAAAGTGGTAGTTCAGGGGGTAAGGTGGGTCAGAAAATAGTTCAGTTCACCGAGTAAGCATGGACGAAATTAACAGTTTGGGGGCATGTAGAATCTGATGAAAAGCTATTTACATCTATTAGCAAGGTTTTGATTACAAAAAAAACAGCATAATTCTGCGGATGCATTAAAACAGAAGAGTTGAAACAATAGCAACGCTTTCGATCTATATTTTAACGATTCTACGTAAATTGATTGAATGATAACCTGTTGCTGGAGCTTCGCGAGCTCTTGAGGAGGGATCCGGCTCATCTGCTCCTGAGCGATCCTCATCAATTCTGGATCCATCATCCCGTTATACATCGATTTGTTCTTCAAATTGAGAGAAAAGAGCGGAAATATCAAATCTAGGGTTTTGATTTGGGAGCGGAAGATAAAACCGTGGGGAGTTTTATTAGGGAGGGGGGCGAGAGAGAGAGGGGGAGAGAGTTTTATTCGAAATTGGATATTTGAGACGGCAATAAAGACCGCGGTTTGAACGAAGTAAAAAAAAATACCGACCACCGCCTTGTCAAAACAAAACTAGCTTCAAATTTGGGTTCGAGCCTTATAACTTGCAAGCGTGTGAAGCGCGTCCGGTCTCGATAAGGATGTGAAGAATGTTGAGATGTAGTGGATGAGGTGTGGATATACAAGTAAATTTTTTCAAGGAAAAAAACCACTAGATTTTGTGTGTGTGTGTATATATATATATATATATATATATATATATATATATATATATATAGAAATCACTGAGACGAGAATTTTAAGGAATGCCCATAACTGAAATCAAATTCTCAAACTTCGACTGCCAATTTCTCGTCAACCTTCTAGTGGCTAGCGTGCCAATTTCTGATCAAGACAAGGGCAGTTAAGGCCATGACAGGTAGATGTCGAAGATCTCTACAATTAATTGAAGGCACGAAAACCTTAAAAAAAGAGGAAAATGGAAAGAGGTCGAACCTGAGAGTTTCTCAGTGGAGCAAAGAGGAGAGGAGAGAGAGAGGAGCTCGACGGCGAGATCGCGGAGGAGGACTGAAGGCGGAGGAGAAGGTTGAAGGCGAGATCGCAGAGGAGGAGGGCCGAAGACGAAGGAGGAGCTCGACGGCGAGATCGCAGAGGAGGAGGGCTGAAGGCGTCGGCGTGAAGAGATGAGAAGGAGAGAAGAGAGGGATCTGGGGAGAGAGAGGGTGAGGTTAGGGGGAGTTTGATATTTCACTTGGGAATTGGGGATGAAAAATTTGTTTATGTAATTACTATAAGTATTTACAATTTGTTTATGTATAATATATGTATATGTGTGTGTGTATATATATACATATACATATACATATATGTGTGTGTATATATATACATATACATATACATATAATAAAATTTAAGAGTTTGGAGAGGAGGTTAGTGGTTCAAATCCTAGTCACAACAGATATTTGACTCTCAGGTCTTTAAATTCTACAATTATTTTTAATTTTGTTTGTTTCTATAAGTTCTACAATTATTTTATATCATTTTAATTTCTATAATTTTTTATATTTGTAAATTACATAATTATAATTGATTAATAATATAATTTTTTAATCAAAATTGTGTTTATTTTTTGCTTTGTATTCTTAAAAAAGTAAAAAAAAAATTAAAAAAACAAATAAAACCGGCCCGGCCCGCTCAGGCTCGGGCCCGGGTTAGGCCGAGCCAGATGTCCCATAGAGAATAGACGAGTATATATAGTGTCTGTGCGATGCACGGAGTTATTTAATATTTAGCTTGTGAATTTTCTGAACATAGACAAATGTCACAAACATTTAAAATTTCATGTAACCAAAAAATGGTATCACAATGCTGAAAAATGCTAAAAAATAATACATGAGAACATGCTACTTATAGTTCTGAGCAAAATCAGTTTCAATGATACTATGTTCCTCTGTTGTGATTCTTAGTCGTACATAATTATGAAGAGAGAAAAAACATAATAATTAACATGATTACCATTTAGATAAAAAGAATCACCCAGAACAGCATGCAGATTAAAAATATTCTTAGTTTATAAGCAAACTATAAAAGAATATTCTAACTAAGTAAAACACTCTAAAAATAAGAAGAAAAATGAGGAGAAAATCATCATGACGTCATGAATAACCTTATCTATAGATTGCAAATTCATAAAGTACACAGTTCCAACCTTCTAGAAGTACCGCAAAAGAAAATGTATATAATTTAATTAAAGGGTTTTTTTATCCCTTCATGAAAACCACTTCTAAAATTTAAAATAGGGAGGGTATACGGGAAAAACCTTTAATTTTTAATTTATACAGAAACCACCTTAAAAGTAAATTTAGTTTTCGATCAACCACTTTTAGACTATTACTGGTCTAAATTTACTCTGAATCCCTATAATATCCTGACTAAATAAGTGTGCTAAGCACACGATTCCTACCTAACCGTGTCAACCTCGATACTCTCTATATTCAATCAAATTCTAACCATGATCTCCGTTCCAACCTCAATCAACCCCTAAAAATGACTCAAAAAAGCCCGGTGTTCTCTCCCATAAAATAACTCTAATTTATGCGGTTTCTTAGGAAGTGAAAAAAAATAAAAATAAACCCTATTTAATGTATGTATTTTTGGGGCTTGGGCCCTTGGCTTAGGATAAGCATAAAGCGATCTCAATGCTGACAACTGACACTAAGGGCCTGTTTGGTTCGTTTCCTTCACTCTTTATAGATGATTTTCCTTCACTTTCTTGTGTTTCCTTCACTTTCCTGAAAAATGTTTCTTGTGTTTGTTTCGCCCAAAAATATGTAGTGAAAGTACTTTCTATCATTTTCTAGTGTTTGGTTCAACTCGAAAAAAGAAGAAAATAATTGATGTGTGAATAGATTCCCTCATTTTTTAGTATTTGGTTCAAACTAAAAAATCAAGAAAACTTGATTGTGGTCACCATGGTAAGATTACCATTGTAGGCAATAAAAATTGCCTTTAATCCTTATCAGAGAAGTTCAGAACAAAACTGCTAAAACCTCGCCCGAAATAGCAGAAAAAGGGGAAAACGCAGATATCTCCCAAACCGTAAGGAATTTGGCGAAACGGAGGAAGCGAACTGAAGCCTTTGGCTTGGTTGGAGCTCGCCTGCAACTCAAATTCGCCTGCAGTCCCAAATCCGCCTGCAGACCCAAGTCTGCCTGCGCACCTGAGCTCGCCTGCAAACCCAGTTCGCCTGCTAGCTCGCCTGCAGACCCAAGTCCGCCTGCAGTCCCAAACTCACCTGCAGACCCAGTTCGCCTGCAAGCTCGCCTGCAGACCCAAGCTGCAGACTCGCCAGCTCACTGTCAACTGCCCACTTGGAGTATGGGAACAGTTACATCAGTGGTCAAATCCCACAAATCAAGGGAGAGGGCACAATACTCCAGGCCCGTCAGATGGCCGTCCACAGTACGAATGAGCGGACAGGCGCCGAAACAGCCTGCACCCTCATAAATGCGGCTCACCTCAGTTGTCCAGGTGAAGGGACGAGAGCCGCCAACGCTCGGTGGTTGGTCAGATCCACGCAAGCATCTGACAGCCGTTGTCACGCATACGAGGAGGGGCTTTCCCACTCCTATGTAGCGTGATGCAGAGCACAGCTCTTCGAATGACCATTGACGGTACGAATGAACAGCAGGACGTCTCCGAACAACGTGTGGTCACATCCCATAATTCAAGGAGCAGTCAAGCTATCTCCCTCACCTCTATTAGTGGTCAAATCCCATGAATCAAGGGAGAGCCCATGCCATCCCTTGCCTGTTAAAACCCATCTTCAGCAGCATGAAGAAGGGGGATTGGCCGTTGCATATTCTGCTGGCTAATCTCCCAAAGGTTGAACCTGGACCTTTGCCAAAGGCTCCCTCATTTGAGAACCGAAGCTCCGGCTCCGGCATCAACTTCGATCGGATCGTCCAAGGGAAGCAGACTCGGCACGAGCACCGAGCGAGGCATCCTATCGCCACCTAAAGTCCCCACACAAAACAAAGAGGGCCTTCCCTCTGCTTCTGTTGTAAACATTTGGTTTGTTAGTTTGTAATAAGCTTTCTTATAAATACAAACGAAACTCCTTTCTTCGGAAGAATCAAATTTTCACCCTACAACCATCCATCATCATAGTTGTGCTCAGAAAAGACCATTTTTTCATTATCTGCCTCGCCATAAAGTTTATAAATAGCAACGTTGGCTGCAATATATTGCCTCGCCAATATATTGTTACTATAAATTTTAGCTGCATATCTTAAAAATAGCCCGTTATCATAACACAAAATATTCATACCAACCAAAAACCAACCAAGAGCTGAAACCAAGGCCGAGAGCAGGTTGAAACCATGCACAAAATTAAAACAAAGGCCAAGCATCAACATGAAACCAAAGGCCAACCATAGTTGACCAACAACACATAATAGTACCAAGATCTGAAACCAATGCAGAGAGTATAATAAACCTGCACAAAATTGAAATAAAGGCCAAGCATCAATTGAATCCGAAGGCCGACCATAGCTGACCAACCAAAGGCCAAGCAAGAGCTAAAACCATTGCAACCAAGGCCAACCAAAGGCCAACACAACAATTTAGGGTCCAAGGGCCAAGCAACAAGAGGCTGCAACCAAGGAAAGCACACACCTGAACATGAATCATCAACATGGAAACAACAAACCAAACAACCAACATGGGAACAGCAAACCAACACAACCAAGAGTTGAAACCAAGGCCAGCTGGAACACAAATTCAGACACACCAAAAGCCAACACAACAACTTAGCTCCAAAGACCAAGCACCTGAAACCAAAAGGCCAACTGAAACACAAATTCAGACTCACAAACCCGATCAACCCAGGCACATAAAACATGAAAATAGGCTAACAAGAGCCAAGCTGAAAATGAGGCCAAGCTGAAACCATTGCACAAATCCAGGCTCACCATTGCAACATGTCAGGTACACAATGGAAACCACACAAAAGCATAATTGAAACAAAGTCATAGCACTTTGTTTGGGCCAAAAAGCCAATAAAATGGGAGTATGATATCTGACACAGGAAAATGAGGCCAAGCAACATGTCAGATAGCATAGCATAAACCACAAGAAAGCACACAACTGAAAAATGTAACACAAATCCAGACTCACCAAACCAAAGGCCAACACAACTATTTAGGGTCCAAGGGCCAAGCAACAAGAGGCTGCAACCAACCAAAAAAAAAACACCTGAACATGAATCATCAACATGGAAACAGCAAACCAACAACATGGAAACATCAAACCAACACAACCAAGAGCTGAAACCAAGGCCGAGAGGAGGTTGAAACCATGCTGACCAAGGGCCAAGCAACATGAGGCCAAGCTGAAACCATTGCAACATGTTAGGTACACAATGGAAACCACAAAAAAAGCACAAATGAGCTCCAAGGGCCAACCAACCAAGAGAATGGAAATCAAACCAACGCTCAAAAGAAATTATAGAAAATATGCTCAGAAAAGGCTCTTTTCTACATTATATGCCACGCCATGAAGTTTATAATAACGATGT